CAAAAGGTACCCCTGCCCCATGGATCCTGAAGCCACAGATTTCACCTGGTACCCACAAAGGCAGAGAGGAAGGGAAGAAAGAAAAGGACTAAGGAGAGCATCTTATGTCTCCTTGCTTTCCTGTCTCATCTTTTCTTCCTTTCTAACTTATGCTCTTGTTTCTTCCTCTTTATCACATCTCATTTTGAGCAATTTCTGGTTCCCTAAGTTCCTCCTGCCATCTCTTACAGCCATTAATGATACAGATTGCCCTCTACTGGACACTACCCCCACGGCAAGGAATCTTGACCAGCATCCAGAAATTACTAGCGGTTACAAGGCTCAAGCTACATTTACCAGTGCTACACACCCACGTATTGAAGGAGCACCTTATTTCTCCTCTGCATCCCTCACAGAGGCAAAACAGACCATATATTGCAGATAGGCAGCCAAAGCATGAAGATCCGTGATGTCTCATCCACCCACACAGGCAGAATGTGCACAGTACTGCAGGGAACTGCAGATAGGGTCACATCAAAGTTCAGCTCACAGGGACCACTTCTCCTCTCCCAGAGCTGAGGGACGATGCGTGAGGAAGCTCCAGGCACGGCCTAAGCAAGGACCAGGAATACAACCCTCATAAAAGCCCTGTCTGTAGTTTGAGGGATCTGTGCTTACTGTGAGGGGATGTAGCACTGCCAACGAAGTGTGCCCTACCAGCTTCCTCCAGTGCTCACAGCACTGTGCATGTGATCCTTGGAAATAGCAGAACTGCGTCAAAAAGTAGCTGGCTCCACCCTCACTTTCTCTCCCTAAGGGAAACAGCTCACAGCATCAAATCAAGCCCAAATTGCCTCCAGACTTCACTGGGGACATCCTCCGGAACAAGGTTTGGAGGGTTCACTTCCTGCAGAGAGCTAGAATCCAGCACAGGGATGAATGGCATTCTGTCTCTGCCTCTTCCTAAGTCTCTCCCTGCCTCCCACCCTTCCCAGAGCTGTTACCCACCTACCTGCATAGCGCAGTGGAGCATCTTTGTCCAGTGCAAACAGTGGTGGGTTGAGCAGGACTGTGTTGTCATTCTCCATGATGATGCCCTGATACTCAGCTTCAATCCAGGGTTTGTGCTTGTTTGCTGGGGCAGATTTGGGAGTGGGGATGGAGCACAGGAATGTATTAGCCACCAATGACAGATTCAGTGGGACAAGAGCAGAATATCATCCAGTGGCAGGTAACAATCACCCCTCCCCACCTTCTCTGGAAATAAAGTCTAAAATAATAGGCTGGGAGGAAGAAGTTCTCTTTCTTTAGCTCTACTCCATATGGCTCCTGGGACTGGGAGACCTCATCAGAAGCAATGTGTACCTTCTGGCCTCCTCATTACATTCTTACCAGGAATATGTGGAGAAGCATTTGGGTGCCCAGGAAAGTTGGAATGGTTAAAAAAAAAGCCTGAAATCAAGAGGCAGAAGTAGTCTGATTCTGGAGACAGATTCTAAATGCTAAATCTTTTAGCTCAATGAAGCCGTAATTAAAGGATCTAGGATACATCTTTCCTTGGGGTGTCCCAAGGGGACAAGTCTTGCATGCAGCCATTATCACTTATGCCTGACATCCCCTGGACTAAGGCCCAGGATCCACACACACGTACCCAGGTACACTTTCAGTCAGTCATTCTATGTGAATTAATAACCTACTCTGAGACTCCCATGCTCCTTCCTTCCCCACTCCATGGCAAGCACCATATTCCCTTGGCCCTTCCTTGCTAATCCTGTTGGCTGGAGCCCAGCCAGGCTTGGCATGGAGGCAGCAGCCAGCAGGAGCCTCTGAAAAATGTCACAGGCCCAGAAATAGCAAATTAATCTTTATCACAAAGGCTCCAGGGCAGGGAAAAGGAGAAATGGGGGTGGGGGGGTGAAGGGGAGGGGAGAGAGAAAAAAAATAATTATAAATTAAAAACCCCTCCCCCATGCCCACCCCCTGCCAAATGGGCCTCTGAGATTATATTACATGGCCTAGTTACAACCCCCCAGTCCCAGATAATCCCCCACTCTCCCACCCCTCGGAGGCCAAGATTTATTACAACCAAGCAACGCCTTGAGCCCAGCATGGGTCAGAGCTGGTGGGGAGTAGGGTACAGAGCCTTTCCCCTCAAGGGCACTACTTCCAATATGGGAATTCATCCTCTGCAGCACAGTATCCTCTGGAACCACACCAGCACAGCGTGACGTGTTGACTTGAAAGGGACAGCATCCCCTACAGCCTCTGCAAATGGGGGTGATGGGATGCTGCTGGAGCTGGGCGGTGGCTGCCAGACAGCAACAGGTCAGAATGGGGGTGCTGCAGCACCCCCGGAGCGGGCAGCCCCAGCCCGGCAAGGCAGCAGGGAGCGGGGGTTGGCATTTCTCCCTCACCGTATTGATTGACGTTTATAAAGCATTGCGTAGGAAACCCAGACAAACATCCACCCTGCTCTGTAAGCAGGTGGAATCCTCCCTGTGTGCAAATACCCACATTCCAACCCACCCTTCCATTGCCCCCACTAGATTCCACTCCGTGACGGCTCTATTCCATGCGCCGCACCACCGAGGTGGGAATCTGCAGCTACAAATACCAAATGTGCCCTGTTGCTGGGGTAACAAGCCGATGGTAGAGAGAGATAAATCCTTTGCTGCATTCACCTGCAACTTGGGAATCACCAATCTGATTTCTTGGGAAATGAGTTCCTGGAGGTTACAAAACCATTTTTGGAATATTTTTAGGGTACAGACTCCCACCAGCTTCAGGAAAGCTCCTGTAAATCTAAAATAATTTGCCAAAGGTGGGTAGATGTTTCAGAGCATAGATTTACAAAGAAAAGAGAGAATCCAGAGTGGAAGGGGCCCTGCCTTGCCATTGGGCCCCTTGGCACCAGTACAAATACATGCCCCTGCCAATGCCAGCATGCACAGAGCCCCTCGTTGCACTGCCCTGCATCCTTACCTCTTCCTAAGAACAGAGGATGTCACATTCCCTGATGACCCCACCTGGCATGCTCCCCAATTCTCCCACCCTGCTCGAGTATTGACGCACTGACTCCCCTCAGATGAATTCCTCCTGCCTGTCCCTATAGCCACAGATTTAGAATCCTACACCTTTCTCCTTTGCCCTACGTGGTCAAAGAACATCTGCATTCAGAGTGTTACAGCCATAGCACGAGGGTTTGGGGCTTTTTACGTATTTAGCACATAAAATACTGTTTGATCCAAGCAACCTGCATAATTAACACATAACTGGAAAATAATTCCTGTTGGCAGATCGCAGATGGATGAACTAGAATGAGAAGATGGAGACAGGGGATGTGTCTTGGAGACCACAAAGGTCTGTGGAGAAGCAACACATTCTCTCAGCACGCTAGGGAAGGGAAGCTAAATCCACATGGCAATAACTGGAACAAAAGCAAGACAAGTGACTGGAAAAGGGCAAAACGCGAAGGGAATGCTAGAAAAACAGAAAGAAGGAGAAGAAAGGAAAGCGATGACAGGAGGCAGATGGAGAAAGTAGACAGAGAGGATGGAATGAGGGCACCCGAAGGGACACAGAGAGACGGAGCACCCGGGGACGGCGGAGATCCCACGATAACACCGTGCCATGCGAAGCCGACGGGCAGCGCGGAGCCACACCGCCACCGAGCAGCCGGTGGGGACGAGCCGCGGCCCCTCAGCCCGCCGGGGGTCCCAGCGCACCGTCCCTCCGCCGCCGCCGCCCGGGACCGTGCCCGCGGCGCTGCCGCCGCTCACCTTTGTTGGAGGCGCTGCCGGGCAGCGCGGCGTAGAGGCAGAGGAGAGGCAGGAGGACGGCGGCGCGCTGCCGGGGGAAGCCCATCGCGGCGATGGGTCCCAGCCCGCCCGGGGCTGCTGGAGAGCGGCGGGCCCGGCCCGGCCACGGCCTCGCTCCCGCGGCGGCGGCGGCGGCGCGCAGGGACGGAGCGGTACCTCCGCGAGCCCCGCTCCGCTCCACGCCCGGCCCCGCCCCGGCACTGCAGCATGACGTCACGGGCGCGGCGGGGGCCGGCGGGGGTCGGCAGCCAATGCGAGGGGCCGCCGCGCCAGGTGCGGCGGTGCGGTGCTGTGCTGTGCGGTGCGGTGCGGTGCTGTGCGGTGCGGTGCTGTGCTGTGCTGTGCTGTGCGGTGCTGTGCTGTGCGGTGCTGTGCTGTGCGGTGCTGTGCGGTGCTGTGCGGTGCTGTGCTGTGCTGTGCGGTGCTGTGCTGTGCGGTGCTGTGCGGTGCGGTGCGGTGCGGTGCGGTGCGGTGCTGTGCGGTGCTGTGCTGTGCTGTGCTGTGCTGTGCGGTGCGGTGCTGTGCGGTGCTGTGCTGTGCGGTGCGGTGCGGTGCGGTGCGGTGCTGTGCGGTGCTGTGCTGTGCGGTGCGGTGCGGTGCGGTGCGGTGCTGCGCGGTGCGGTGCTGTGTTGTGCTGTGCTGTGCGGTGCGGTGCTGTGCTGTGCGGTGCTGTGCGGTGCTGTGCTGTGCTGTGCGGTGCGGTGCGGTGCGGGCCGCTACCCCCCCCTCTCACCGCAATCCGGGCAGGGCACGGACAGGGGCGAGGGCTGGCGGAGGGGTTGGAGGGGGACTTCCCGGTTTCCCCGGGAAGCATCTCGCAGTGCTGGGAGACGCGGGAGTAGCAGGCGGGAAGGGGGGCGTGAAGATCGGAGGGGGGGAGCGGGGGAGGTACCGCGGCGAGAGGCTGCAGGCAGCATACGGACTGTACCGCCCATTCGCACCGGGCTCCGCGATGGGCTGGGGAGAGAGGGGGCCGGGACGCTGCTCTGAGGAAGCTCGCAGCTAACCCGTGTCACGGTGAGAGGAGCGGCAGGCTGCGGGGAAGAGTTGCCGCTGGTTGGTAGGCGAGAGTTTAACAGCAGCAGCCCCCAGGGAGGGCGGAGAGTGAGGAGGTGACGGCCGCTCTCACGTCCTGCCCAGCCGAGGCGGAGATGCTGGCAGCAGGGGCAGTCCCAGCCTTTTCCGCGCCCCCCGGCGAAGGGACTCTTACTGCAGCGGGGAGCCCGGGGGCCGGGCAGCCCCGCAGCCCTCCCCACACCGCGGGAGGGTAAAGCGGCCCGCCCGGCGAGCCTGCTGGCTGCCCGCTCGGTACCTGTCTCGCTCCTTGCTCTGTTTCCTCCTCGCCGTCCGCCCTGTCTTTCTGCCCCGGGATGCCGCCCAACCTCACCGGCTATTACCGCTTCGTCTCCCAGGAGAACATGGACAATTACCTGCGCGCTTTAGGTAACATCACCCTCCTCATCCCTCTCTTTTCTCTCCCTTTGCTCTCTTCTGCCCCTAAAGAAAAGAAAGTCACAAGTCATGGAAGGGGTTTAGGAACCCCCTGGTCCTTCTGTCTGTGCCCATCGCTTTCATGGTGTGGTGGGCTGAGGGAGGAGGTACCGTGGCTGTGGCTCCCTGGCTAACAGGGAGTTCTGCAGGGATGCTGCTAGATGAGGGGCCCAGGTCGTCTACAGATCTCCCCTCCCTCCCTCTCATTCCCCAGATATCAATGTGATCTTGCGAAAAGTGGTTTGCCTTTTGAAGCCCGATAAAGAGATTATCCACACGGGGGATCACATGGTCATCCGCACGATCACTTCCCTGCGAGACTATGTTATGGATTTTGACCTGGGAGTCCAGTTCGAGGAAGACCTGGGACCTGTGGATGGACGCAAGTGCCAGGTGAGAAGCCCAAGCTGTGCAGTTTAGCAGCAGACTGGGATGCACTAGAAGGTCAGGTATCTGCCCAGCTTTTGATTCATGACTCAGGTGAGAGTCCAGCCCAGAGTTGTCATGCCCATGCAGGTCCAGGAAGTTCTATGAGTACCTCACTAACACCAAACAGCCGGAAACCCAGTTCTCTGGGACCCAGAGGCTATTATCCTCTGGAGCAGAGCCCTGAAAAGAAAGAACATCAGCCTGCTTGGCAGTACTCTCTTGCACTTGGAAGCCCGAGGGTCATTCACCTCCCGCAAAGAGCATCAGTCCCAAGGAGCCACTGAAGAGACACCAGATCAGGGACTGCATTTGTAAATGTGTGAGAGGAGCTGCCGGTGTCATCACTGGGAACCTGGACTGCCAGGACCTGCTTCCCCTGGGACCATGTCTTCCCCCTATTTTCTCTTTTTCAGACAACTGTCTCCTGGGAGGGGGATCAGCTGGTGTGTGAGCAGCTGGGAGAGAAGAGGAACCGAGGATGGAGGCACTGGCTGGAGGGGGACCAGCTGCATCTGGTGAGGAGGGGTCCAGCACAGCCCTCTAAATCCCAGTGGCAGCGGACAGGGGACACGCAGAGCTGGGCTCTGAACTCCGAGGCATGCAGCTTCCTTCCAGCTCCCTTCAGACTCTAGCCCCGGCTCCTCGGGGGGCAGAGTCCACTACACACAAACATCCGGCTCCAGTTAAGGAGGCTCGGCAAAGGCAAAGGCAACGGCCCTTCCCTGCCCCGCTGCCTGACCCCTGGGGCTTTGGGAGGGGTGTGCAGAAGCATGTGGCCGGAGGGCGGGCAGGGCGGCAGCTGGCGAGGGAGGCGAGTCGGGGATCCAGCCTCAACTCCTCTTTCGCCTCCCTTTCCTAGCGCATGACCGCTGAAGACGAGGTGTGTGTCCAGGTTTTCCAGAAGGTGAAGTGAGCGCTCCGCCGAGGGATGCCCCGCATTGACAAAACAAACAAAGCCCGAGGGAGCCAAGCTCCCCCGTAGCAGCCTCCTTGTTTTCTAACGCCTCGTCTCTCGCCCAGCAGCGGCCGGGGCGGCGGCAGGGCGGGATGGGACGGGACGGGACGGGGGTCACCGCGAGGCCGGGCCTGCGGGCAGCAGGAGGCGGTGAGAGGAGGCGGCCGCGGTGGACCGGGGCGGGAGGGCGATGGGCTCCGTCTGCACGGAAGCTCCTTTCAGAATAAGAGTTTTTGGGGAGTAGTAGTGGTGCCGGGGCTGCCCCACGGCCGGGCCCCCGCAATCCCCGGCACCAGGGGAAGCAAGAGGTGGTGCCCAAATGGGAAAGGGTGGCTGAGGCTGCCCCTCCTGCAGCCGCCAACACCAGCCGCCTTCTCCTGGCCTCTGGGGTGCCACATTCTTCTCAGGATGCTGGCACCCTCAGGCAGAATGGGTTGAAAACAAAACGATCAAAGATTTTTGTGTATCATGTGAAATCGGAGGGTTGGGACAAGGGAACTGAGCTCCTCAGAAGGTTCCGAGGGTAAGAAAAGCTTAGCGTCTCCTCCTGGTATACAAGATGATGGCCAGCTCCAGTCCCAGCTCTCCTGGCGTTCCTGGCAGCCATTCCCCATGGCCATCATAGTTCCCCTGGTTCACAGATCCTCCCTACAATCGGAGACCAAGCAACAGAACAGGCAGTGAGGTCCCTTAAAAACCCAGACCAGTGCCGAGGAGGTGTCCTTTAGTGAAGACATCTGATGTGCATGAGCCCATAAGCAGTTACTTCCAAAGGATGCTTGTGTTTGTCCCCTGGAAAATGAATGAAGGGCAGGGTATGCAGAAATGTGTCACTACAGACATCACCAGGATCAAGAGGTAGGCAGATGTTGAAAATACAGGCCCTTTTCACAAGAGCCAGGTTGGACGGGGCTTGAAGCAACCTGGTATTCTGGAAGGTGTACCCAGCAAGCAATCATAGCCGTGTCATCCAGCCTGTCATTTATCTGCTTTATGCAGACGTCTACAACCCCATCATTCCTTCTATCGCAAGGAGCCTTTTTTGTATCACAAGGTTGAAAGGGCAGAGGTTTGACTGACAGTAGCTGAAGCTGATTCAACGGTTGCCCTCTTTATACTCCTCCATACAGTAAGAGTCCATCTGAGCTGTTTCTGACCCCAACACCAAGCTGGCTTCACCATATCCAGACTGATATCTTCAGGAAGTATCTGGTTGGGCCAGAACCATAGATAAGAATCATACCCCCTTGATGTGGTCCACACTCATAGTAATCATAAGGGATAGTATTCCAGCCTATTCTAGGGCTTCAGTTAGTAGCTACCACCACTGTTAATTTAATCATGCTACGGGTATGATGCCTAAGTCAGATGGTGACTTTGCACAACAGTACTATGTCGCTGAGACACGAGCCTGTGGGATGTGACAATGCATAAGGCAGGGGAAAGGGTGTGATATTGGGAGGACATTGTCTCATGGCTTCTGAGGTTGTAGAGCAGGTTTCTTTCCAATGGCCTCCTGCAACAACTGTATTCAAAGCAGGAGTCTCCATCAGAGGGTATGGGCATCTTTGGCTGTGCTGAAGATCTACAGTTTCTTTACTTTTACTCTGATACTGTCTGGATTTACTGTCCAGTCCTCTCACAACCCAGCTGAGCGAAGCAGGCAGCAAAGAGGTGCTAGTTTTGGCACATTCCCTGGTTCTACAGGTATTCTGCTCTCTAGCAAAGTAAGGCACAGACACACTCTAGAGGAAAAAAAAAAGGTATCAGGTATTTCCTGGCTCTGATGTGACACAGAGGGCTGCACAGAACATCTGCAGCGGAACGCCACCAGTGGGAGCACTGGAGCAGGACTGAGGACACAGCTGTATTATCCAGATCAGGTCTATGGGACATGTATCAGAGGAGGGCTGCTCCAGTACGGCATATCTCCAGCTAACCACCCTTGTTTCACCAACTGACGGTCTCTCCTAGCAGCCCAGACGGTGCTATCGGGGCGGGGGGAGGAAATGAAGGCACGGGAATCGTGCCATGAAAGTGCCGCAGGGAGCTCCCAGTAGTGCCCCCCTGGATAGGAGATTCCTTGTCAAGAGCTCACTGAAATGATCAGCTTCCTTACAAATGATCCTCATTCATTTCTGTGAATCCATGTTTCCCCAGGAAACACTCTGTTCATAACAGATCTCCCAAAGAGTCGTTCCCAGTGCTTGCCACCTACTTTGCAGATGTGGTTTTCGAGTAAAAGCTTTCCTTCTGGTGGTAACAGAGAGCCAGCTGAACCTGCTCCGGCACAGCAAAGCACAGCGGTGAGCCTGCCCAAGTCTGTTCATCATGCAGAAGAGATATCCGGACATCAGGAAGTACTGGGCTAATGTCCCCCACTTCATCTTAATTCTGATGTGTGGGGCCATATGGTGTTATTACAGAGGCACTAATTGCTTGTTGATGTGATCTTTTCCAGGTAATAATTCAAAGATGCTCAATAAGCAGGTTCTCTAGTACACTGCCATAAACATCCCAAAGATGATGTCTGCATTCTTTTTAACACTATTTTCATCTTCATTCAACATGTTTTGTGTAGCTATGAATTATTTCCCATGATTTCAATGCAAGAAACTTACTTATTTCTCTGAAGCCACCCATAATTCTAAAAAGAAAACACTAAAATGGTGGGTTTACGTCTTACACCGAAGTCTGAAGCTAAGGCATTTTAAACTTCCCGAAGCTGGTGGCACACAATATGTCTTGGGCACTATGTTGATAAAAGCCTGAAATGTGTTTGCAAGTTGCTGTTTTTATCTGATTTCCCCATTGAATACTGAAGGCCTTATCTGTCTACCTTGTTTCTCCTAAAAATGCTTGCAGAAGGAAGAGCAAGAAGGTTCCTTGGAAAGGGACTTGTTCTGAGAAGTCTTAATTATAGGATCCCAGACTGGTTTGTGCTGGAAGGCAGCTTAAAGCTCATCCAGTTCCAGTCCCCTGCCACAGGCAGGGACACCTTCCACTAGAGCAGGTTGCTCCAAGCCCTGTCCAACCTGGCCTTGACCACTGCCAGGGATGGGGCAGCCACAGCTTCTGTGGGCACCCTGTGCCAGCGCCTCAGCACCCTCACAGGGAAAAATTATTTCCTAATGTCTAACCCAAATCTCCCCTCTGTCAGCTTAAAGGTTTATTCATTTCCATAATACCCATCTCAAATGTCTGAGGTTTCTGGATTTCCCTGAAGAAGCTCCCGGTTCCCATCACAAAAAGCCTCTGCAGTGCTCCTCAGCAAGCCAGGACAGAGAAAACTTGACCTTAATGAATTTGTTAAGACTAAACCTCCTGGTCTCCTGCACCACAGAACTTCCCAGAAGGAGCGGAGGGGAGGGACACACTTCCCGAGCGGGTCATCTCTCCTGGGGAGCAAACTCCGAGCAGCTGCCGGTTTGGAGACCGAACCGCGGAGGGGTTTTTAGCAATTGTTCTTCCTCCTCGTCGCCCAGGAGCGGCACATCGGGACGTGAGAGCTCCGCAAGCGCCCCGCGGAGCCGGTGTGCGCGGGCAGAGCGCTGGGCAGCAGGGGGCAGCAGGTCCCGGTCTGTTCGCAGCAGGGCTCGCTCTGCCCTCCCTCCGCCTCTTCGCACCGCCCGCACCGGCTTCCCGCTGACCGCCGCGGCGGAGCTCCGGCCGGGGCCGCGGGCAGGACGAGCGGGGAGCGCGCACGGCGGGCGAGCGCATGGACGTGTGAGTGGGGGCATCTGGGGACGGGGGAAGCACGGCCGCTTCTTTGCGGGGAGGAAACGGGGGCTTGGACCCTTCCAGGAAGGAGGAGAGGGCGGTGGGACTGAGCTGGCGCTCACTGTCCCTCCATGAAAGCTTTGCTAGAACCTATGGAGGGTCGAGGAGGAAGGATCTTCCTGGCTGATGTTTTTCATAAGATCTGGGCAGTGAGCGTGTTTTGGAGGGACACTGATAGTCCCATTCCCCAGAGAGGCAGAGGGGAGATGTGCAGGATGGGAAAGAAAATGAGTCCCAACTGTTAAGAGAGATGGAGGCATGGCTAAGTAGCGGGCGGCTCAGGAGGCACTGCAGGATCGCTCCTCAGCAAACAGAGCTTGAGATCTTCAGATCCTTACCAAACGCATGGGGCAAAGATCCTAAACCAGCAACAGCCAGAAACGACCCACTGGCCCAGAGCCCCAGGGAACCAAACTTCCCATGGTTCTATGGGACCCAGCGCATGACTGCTCAGGGAATTCGGCTGTGCTCCTTCAAACTGCTTCCTGGGTTGATGAATCTTTTTGGCTGGGTGACACAATGGCTTGCTGGAGCCTGGGTAGTGCTGGTGTCTTCATTTCAGCTTGTCCTCCTTGTTCCCAAGTGACCCAAGTCAGGAGCTGGACTTGCAGCTGGGCCTCCCATGTTTGGATTCCATTAGACAGTGCACGAGTCACCTGTGAAGTCTCCCTTGATGCTGGATGACCTAATTCTGTGCAGTGTCATAGTTTTCTTGCCATGTTCACAGGCACATTCATTTTCTCCTGTGGGCCTTCCTGTTTCTTGAAGTGATCAGTTCCAGTCCATTCCCAGCAAAGCTTTTTGGGGAGATCAGATCCCCCGATTATCCCAAGCCATATCCCAACAACAACATCAGCATCTGGAATATCCACGTCCCAGAAGGATATGTGGTGAAGCTGACCTTCAGATATTTTGACCTGGAGCCATCCGAGTCCTGCTTCTATGACTATGTTAAGGTATGCGCACAGGTACCTGGACCAAGGGGTGGCTGGAGATGGGAATCTGGCGGCCACCACACACAATGGGTCTTCACTCACCAGAGCTCCTCTCATGCTTCCCACAAAGGAAAGGGAAGGAATTAAAGATAGAAATGGGTGGAGCAGGTACTGGCAGCTCATGGCTGGGTAATAGTGATGCTTGGAGCAGACTGAATCTTACAAGATTACAGTGATTTCCCCTTAACCTTGACAGATCAAAGCAGACAAGAAGGACTTGGGCCGATACTGTGGCCAGCTTGGGTCA